GCACAGCGCGACAGCCCCTCCAGCCGGTTGCAGCTGTGGGCCACGGCGCCCCCAGCCAGGTGGCCCTCAAGCACAGCGTCGGGTGTGGAGCAGGAGTAGGAGCGTTCGCCACGCACGCGAGGCCGGGATGGCTCCTCAAAGGGGCCCTGCAGGCCCAGCGTGGGGCTGCCAGGGTGGTGGCTGCACTGCATGCAGTCCACGCTAAGGCAGTAGTCAGCACGGCTGCGCTGGATGGAGCGGAACAGCACGTAGTCCATGGAGCGCACGGAACCCTGCAGCTCCAGCAGGCATGAGTCCTCCGAGGGGCTGCTGTCGCCGGGGATGTCCATGATCTCAGACATAATCAGGGACCCGCTGTCCATGGATACTGCAACACACATGCCTGGCATTGGGAGGGGGTGGGCAGGCACGTGGCCCTCAGGGCAGGGCCCAGCCTCACCCCTTTGCCTACCATGTGCTGCCATCCTGGCCCAGCCTGCAGGCATGGTGACCCCTCCCCATGCACTGCACCCCCAGCTTGTGGGCACAGTGCCTCCTGCACTGCTTCTCCCTGGCCAGCTGCCCCCCAACTCCCCATCTGCCCTCCCAACACCCACAGAACAGCAGAGTGTGAACTTTGCTGCTGTGCTCTCTACTGCTACCAAGCCCCACCCTCGCAGCCCAGCCATAGGCCCTATTCCTTATCCCACTCCCATGCTGCCCAGGGCTGCCATTACCTTCTCCACTGAGCACAATGGAGGGGACACGGTCACAGGTGCAGACATGCGAGGTGTCCGTCAGCTGCGAGTCGAACAGTGTGGCCTAAGGGACACATGGATGGTCACAGCCTGACACCAGTCCTGGGCGTGGGCTGTGTGAGAAGGGAGGCAGCACATGCTGCGGGGAGCCCCCAGCTATGCTCTGGCCCCCACACTCCCTGGGGCCATCATGACCCCCTGCCCAGCACCGTGCAGAATGCGCCTGCCCAGGCCCGTGCCCGTACCTGGCTGTCTCCCTGAAGCCCCATGACAGTCTCATAGGATGGAGGGAAGTCAGTGGGGTAGAGGGGCACAGGGCTGTCCATGGAGCCGTTGTAGGTGATGCTGCGGGAAGAGGTGGGAGAGGCCGTGTTAACCACAGAGGAGGACAGACCTCACACACAGCTCCACAGCTCCCCCTTGCCCTCCCTCCTCTGGCTTCCCCATACTTGGCTGGGCCCTGCCCCTGCCCCAGCCCCCCCCCCACAGCACCTCTGGGCATCCGTCTCGGAGCTGCATGTGTACTCTGGTGGGTAGTAGGGGGGTGGCGGCACTGGGGGCACAAACTCCTCAAAGTCCATCATGGTCTGCAGGAAGGTGTCCGGGGGTGACGTGCACTCCAGGGTCACAGAGCTGGAGCGTGGCAGGCCCAGCTGCGGGGAGAGGGGAATGAGGGGCAGCTGTAGGGCCCTGAGGGGCTGTGTCCCCTCTGCCTCCTGCTTTTGGGGTCCAACAGGGTCACAGTCACAATACCAGTGCCTGATGCCCTGAGCTCCTGACTAGGGCCTTGGCTGTGGGGAGGCCTGGCCAGCACAGGGCTGTAACCAGCCCTGGGAGATATGGGCAGGATCTGGCTCCCTCTGGGCTCTCCCTGACACCCACCGCTGAAGCACCAGCCCATGGGGCCATCCCCAGGCTGCTGCTCAGTGTGGCCAGGGCACAGCTCTGGGGGAGAGTCAGGTAATGTCTGTGTGTGGGGGTGGAGGGCTCTGGACCAAGCCTCTGCTGTGCAATGAGGACAGGGCAAGGGACTGCGGGCAGCGCTCACCATGTGGATAACGTCCAGGGAAAAGATCTGGATGCAGCACATGACAGCAGAGAGCGTGCACATGATGGTGGAGAAAATGGTCAGGCCGCAGATGCTGAACAGCAGGTCCTGGGCAGGGGGCACAGAGGGGCCCTGAATGCTCCTCTTCACATGCCAAGCCCACCGCTCTGGTGATGAGCCTCTGGGCCCTGGCCCTGGCCCTGGCCCGGGCCCAGTGCAGCCCTGCCTGCAGCATCAGGCTTAGAGCATCTCCCCAAGCACCAAGCCGCCCCAGCCTGGCACAGCCCCCCTCCCCCCGGCCTAGCCAGTGTGGCCCCAGCCCCTGCAACACCATTACCTTCAGTGCCATGCGGATGCTGCGGCAGTCAGGGTTGGCAAACATGACCAGCCTGTCGGGGTGGTGGCTGCAGGGGCCAGGCACATGCTGCAGGCCGGAGCGGACCGAGCAACACATGCACATGTCCATCTCCTGCGGGAAGCGAGACACTGGGTGAGGGATGGCCAGGTCCCGGAGCCCCAGCCCTGCTGGTGCTCCCCTCCTAGAGCAGACCGTCCCCTTGCCCTGTGCCCATCCCTTGTCCCATCCCATCACCCAGCCCCCGAGGCACGAGCCTGCACTACTGCCCAGGCTCAGCCACGCAGCCTCCCCCAACTCTCCATTTCCTGAGGCTCCAGCCCAGCAGCCACAGCTCAGGGCCTCACCTGCTCACAGGCCTCCAGGGACTTCACGAGCTGGGCGTTCTGACAGGAGAGGATGGAGCCAGCCAGGCCCAGCATGACGCCCAGCACAGACAGCAGCGTGAAGAAGGTGATCTGGAACAGGGCAGAAGGGGAACGGGCCAACCGGCACGTGCAGGTGAGGGGAGCCTGGCTTTGCCCTCTGCCCCGCACCAAGGCACCCAGAGATGCAGGGGCCCCTAGCAGGACGAGCACCCCTGCCCCACATGCAGCTGACACCTACCACCACCGTGACAGGCCGTTTCCAGGAGACAATGCCAACAAGCCCCGACAAGGCCAGCTGGGGACAGACAGACAACGACCCTGAAGAAGACGGGGGCGGGAGGATGTCCCACACATCCCCTGCCCTCCCCATGCCTACACTCTGCTCCCTGCCTGCAGCCCATGCCCTGCACATGCACAACAGGCAGGCGCCTCCTTGCCGGCCAAGCAAGGAAAGTGCTGATTCAGGGCACTCAGGAGCAGGCAGGAGCAGCTCAATGCTGGCCAGTGGGACCCTGGCCAGGGCAGCCCATCAGGGGTGCCATGCTGCAGGGGTGGGGTGGGGTGGGGGGCTTGGCACCGTTTGGGCTGAAGGGCATAGGCAGGGAGACCAGAGATGCTCAGGGCCTGTCTAGCTCCCTCTGTAAAACAGGGAGGATCCTGTACCCGGTCATGCCAGCTGGAAAGTGATACAGGTGAGCAAGCAGCACCAGGGTCAGGGACTGGGGCTGGCAGCACAGGACATGGGGGAGGCCTGGGGACAATGGAAGAGCCCATCAAGGGGTCCTGGCACAAGAGGAATTGCCTACATGCTGCCCAGCCGCTGCCCCTCCTGGGCCCCATGGGCTGGCACAAGCTCGCAGAGCGTACTGCTCCCCTTATGCCCAGCAGGAGAACGGCACCCTTGGGTGGACAGCCAGGGAGACTCCTGCCCCCCCGCCCCAGAGCAGAGCCAGCCCTAGAAACTCCCTGCATGGCTGGACCCCTGGCTGCCCTGCAGAAGGTAGCACCCCCTTGGCCTTGCGGGTCTGCCCGAGACTCACCGAGAAGCCGGCCCAGTAGGGGCAGGAGTGCCGGATCTTGGGGGCAGGCGTGATAGTGGCTGCCACGAGGCTGAAGGTGATGATGAGGATGCCCAGGATCACTTGGATGAAGCCCAGCACAAGCAGGATCTGCAGCCAGGTCCTCTGCATGCGGAGGTGCGTGAGGCTGCGAGAGCTGCGGCCGGTCAGCGAGTGGCTGGAGTCGCTGGAGGATGGCATGGTGATCCCCCCAGGGCAGGATGGGAGCAGCGGCCCCAGCGGGTCAGCGGAGCGGCAGCTGGAGGGAGGGCAGCGAGGGGCCGCAGCAGCTGGGGACAGGCCTGGGAGCCGGGTAGGCCCCGCTTTGCTCTGCGGGCAACTCTGAGCTGGACACGCGGTGCCTCGCCCGGTTGGGAAGACAGCCGGGACCCCTGGCCAGGCACAGGGGGCAGGCAGGACTGCGGCTTGCTCTGGCCCCCGAGTGTGCTGCGGTGGGCCCGGGCAGCAAGACTGTCCTAGGAGCACTTCTCAGGGCTGGAGCATCCCGGGCGAGGGGCGCGGGGCAGAACCGGCTCCTGGGGGCC